TACACATATCTTACATCGATTATTTGGGAGAACTGTTCACTAACCACATCGCTCCTCGCGCGTGGTTTGATCCAGCGAACGCCACCATACTCGCTGACTCGACCTACCAACAAGTATGTATGTACTTGCAATTATCACAAGTAGTTCTTTTACAGGATCTGTCACGATGGAATTTGTCAACTTCAGGGTTCTGAACCTTCCCTAAGGAGCAGTTGCGCTCAACCAACCTACAAACACTTGTTCAAAGCCCCCAAGTCCCAACGCGAGAAATGAAGCTCGGGTTCGCCTTGATATCAGTTCGCAAGGAGCAAGCAACGCAGGTTAGAGCCATTGAACAACGAACCCAAGATTCAGAACTATCGTTGCGGCCTGATTGGTCCAACGGGGGTGAGCCAACAAAAGTACAACGTTGCAGCCAAACCTTGCCTACCACATCGCGGCTCCCATGACACGAACGCTCTTACTGGTCGCCACACTAAACAGTGCCATGCTTCTTAGCTCCAAAGATGCAGACAGTATGGCTTCCGCCTTGTGCAAAAGCCAGTGATCTCACGTCAAAATGTCTCAGTTAACCACGCGACAAGCCGCCCGAAGAACCAACTCAAGACACATGAGTGCATCCCTCAGTCATCATCAGGTCCTCCCTTGCGCAAGATGAAACAGACTCGCGTGAGCGCACTTGCGTATACATGCTCCGTCCGCATTCTGTGCGTGGGAAGTAATTTGGATGGATTCCAGAGGAGGACGCACTTCCTGGTCCTAGCAACAGCACTAGAAGGAGAAGAAAAAAATTGCCCTGGTTTTCTGGGGTTTCCTGCAATGGCTTGATTGGTGGCATGCTTGGCAGAACCCTTGGACCTGACTCGCATCTTGGCGAACCAGCGTGGGCGTGTGCGGAATCAGAGCAAACCAAGGGAGGGCACAAAGTCAGTCCGATGATGAGCCGCCATACTCTGTACAGTACAGCACAGCGGGGGAACCAGCGCCATGGTGGCCTTTTGCAAGGTGACTTGGCAAGACGCATATTCCCCAGACTCACAGACCAGACATTCTCAGTCGGCTGACACGCTTCCCCGCAAAGATGGGGTCGCCCATCGACGATGGGCCTCTCACACACATCCGAACCAGCTCTCTCGGTGACAAGCAGCATCTAATGCTGGTTTTTTAAGACGTAATAGCAAGAAGTGGCTCATGACGTTATCCAGTAGCGTCTGGGGATTTGAAGGCAAACAGTCGGAGTTGATTACCGCTCTCATGCGGATGCTGAATCTCCTTGACACCCCAATCATCGGATGCGAAGGGAAAGGAGAGAGAGAAAAGAAGGACTCTGGGGTTCAGGTCTGACACACCTTGCTACAGAGTAAACGTTGTCTTGAAGAAGCTTATTCGCGGAATGACGAGCATGTCACCCGTCAGATTGCCGTGAGGGTTGTCACCTCTTTGTACCCATTGCCGACGGACAAAGTGAAGTCTGAGTCTCAGTGTCTCAGTGACGAGCTGCACACTCCTCCAAATTCTTCCGTTGAAATCAGCCGTCATGTCTACTATGTCGACACATTCAACACGTGGAAACCCCACGGGGTTGAATTAAACGTTCCACAGATGTACAATATACAGCTCTGGTGTGTCTTTTGCCGTGAGAACCGCTAAGCGGCCGCTTCATTGCAACCCTAAGTGTTATGCCACAAAAGTTCCAAGTGACTGGACAAAAAGCAAGATTTCATCCATCAGCACACACTACGCCCACCAAATCAAAAGCTTTATTTGACGACAAGATTGGCACGAATGCTGCATCCATCAGACCCAAGGCGAACAGGATACGCTGAAATTTTTACAAAAAAAGTATTCGTTCCGAAATGACCACTCAAGTTTGCTTGCATCGTGGGCTCATGTGCGTCTCAACTCATCCGTGAGGAGCTGGGGGTATAGGTTAAGATAGCACGTCAGACCATGCATGATGGCCTGCAAGCGAACGACCCCCTCGCAGTTTGTGATCCTGGTTTCCTTGCAACCTGGTATTACGCCACCGACGCTGATCGCTCCAGACGTTGAGGGTCGCTCGAGAACGCTTCTAGTAGAGAAAGGGAAAAAAACGGGTTCAACGGAACGACTTTAACCACCCCTTTAATCTATGTACGTACGTCTTGGCCCTGGAACATCATGCATATTATTTACCATACTGATAGCTACACCGGAAACAGCTAAGCTACAGGACCAGCCCGCTTCCTATGCAGGACCAGTCTGCTGACATTCGCTGGTTTTCACACAAGCTTTATCGAACCTTTATTTCTTCCGGGAAATTCTCAGTCCAATGGCTGTAGCCGCCACTTAATTTCCTTAGCACACCACTTTATGGAAGTTTGGGCCGAGAGTAGCCATCCTCCACCACATTATCGTATGCTGGACTCGCAATCACTGCGGACGTACTCGTACATACCACGCAGCTTTGAAGGTTACAAGGTCTATCAAGCATCAATCATCAAAACATTCAGCCATTTGATTGACCCCGGACTCCACTCGCTGCTGGCAGGCTCTCGTATCGTGTGAACAATGTGGATCTTTCGCTAAGCCCCGTCCGAGGCACACGCAGCATCTGACATATTGCAACGTCTTGGTGCCCATGTCCGGATTATGGGTAGAGCCATAAGCCCCTCCAAACCCCTGGTGAACAAGGGTATGGGCTAGCTGGCTCGAAAAGAAGAGTCAAAGGCCATGCACTGAGCGAGCGAGACGCCCGGGAAATCAACTGGTCGGATAAAAGAGAATTTGGTTCGGCCTGCCGACTTTGCCTTACATCCTTCTCAGCATCGACATGTCACCTCCGAAGGCATTGTTCCTGAAACTAAGCGCTTTGATTTAAAGTGTGTCCCTATACGCACCGAAGATGGCGGTCCCAGCCGAGGATGCCCTTCGAATCACAAGTGTTGAATTGGCTGATAAAGGTGATTGCATCGAGAGGATGCCAGATCTCCTTCCCTTCTTGTCGTGGCCTTAATTGCTCGCCGTCCTGGTACTTGATGGGGCAACGGGAAAGCCACGCTAGATGTGCCCGCAGACAAAGATTCCCAACGGAACGTAATAGCTGAGGGCGAGCATCATTCCAACGGTATTGGGTGTTCCAAACAACACCCGAAGATGCTTCCCGTCTCCGTTCTTGGAGAGTGTGGTTACGCTAACTACTCGCTTATACTACTACATGACATGGACATGGAACGCTACATCCAAGTGTTTGTTCAAGGTTCCATTGCATCCTTGAAAGACACGCCCCAAGCAGGAATTGGAACCCTCCCCTTGCAAGATGGTAACAAACCTAGTATGCCACTTGCGGATGAATCCTCATCCATATTGGGTAACACACGCGCCTGAAGGGCTTTCTGTGATCTGTGCCTTTGTTTGGGAGGGCCTTTGACGCAATGCTGACCTGGATCCCCTGGAAGATTTTTTTGGTCTACCCACGCTCACCATTCTTCGCTTTATCTTTCGACTAGGGACGCGCATCAAAGACAGGGTCTTGTATGTAAGTAACACCCGTGGTCTCCGAGGATGATGATGGTGATTATGCCCAGGGTCGAGAATCGGTCATGACGGGAACCCCGCCAACCGTGGCTCGGATTTGAGCAGGATATTGTCCATATCGCACTCAGCCTCGGGATGCCCTACGATCTTACTCTGGGATTGTTCATGATTTAGAGGGCTACGGAAGTTTGTCAGCGCGGATTCCTGCCGTTTGGCTCGGAGTGCTCCCGAGGCCTAGTCTCGGTATTCCAGAAGATCCAGTCAAGCCCCAAAAGGGGAATTTCCAGGAACTATTGTCAATCTTACCGTATTCTCTTTAGGTCTTTTGCCGATCACAATTCGTATCTCCGTGCTCTGCTCGCTCAAAGCCCTATAAGTGAGCAAGTGAGTGAGTGAGTGAGTGAGTGAGGGGTATCAATTATAGCCTGGGTAACAGCTTGGACCGGGGGAGGGGGAGGGGGAGAGAGGGATGGTGAACAATCGTTTTCTACCAGCTCAGCAAGCTGCACGCAGCGGTGCCCATGTGGTTTGACGCAGAGAGATTGATAGATTCGTTGCTGTTACGACTCGCCAATCCGGAACAATCCCCTGGCCTTCTGCCTGGTCATATCCCGTGATAGACCCCCTGTGGATCGGCCCATGAGCCTGTTTGGGGAACATCAGGGTCCTTGAGTGGTCCTCCTTATCATGCATAGCAAAACGTTAGTTTCCATGTATAGATTGAACCAGAACTTTTGCCACTTCTCCGCATACGCCGTGGACGACCCCCATGTTTAGTTTTTGGTTTGTGTTGCCTGCCGGCCGGCGCCTATGAATCAAAACATCCTAGGGCTAGACAATAATTTGTGATGGGAGTGGAGGTGAAGCAGCGAATTTCGGATGAAAGGGAAGAAGAAGAAGGAATGCCATTGGTTTTTACTGGACTTGAGTCAAGGTGAAGGGACTGTTTCGTTGAATCTGATTCGTTGTATTGTTATTGGGGGCGTGCGTGATCGGCAATTGGTGGCGGAGATCAAAGGGGAGGGTGAGGGGGGGGCATAAACTCCTGGCGAATGGGGGTTTATAGAATGAGCTTTGTGTTTCTATTTGATATCAATAAGATGAAGGGACCTGGTGAGAGTGATGTAAGTGTCTCGGAGCTGAAACTATGGGGACTGAGGTGCCTTTTTTTGATAGTGAGTGGAGTGGCGTGGCGTGATGTTTTTTTTTGTTCAAGTTGCTGGAGAGCCTACGGTCGCACATCAATTCACCCTTGAAAAGATGTTTTGTCATCTACAGATTCTCACGTCCTTCTATGCTTTAGTATCTACCTCTCGCCGATCTCTTATTAAGGGAAAATCTTTTCACTTGGCATAATTCACATCATTCATTGTGAGTGAGTTGGAACAAGGTTGAAAGCATACCTACCTAATAGTACACACAACAAAAGTGGTGAGCTACCCTGTATATTCAAAATGTGCTCGCGATAACCCTCATCGGATTCGGGTGAGATGGCCGAGCGGTTATGGCGCCAGGTTAAGGATACCTTAACAAGTTCAAATTCCTGGTGGAGCAATCCTCGTGGGTTCGAATCCCACTCTCATCACGGAATGGCCTTGTGTCGCTTGGTGTTGTGCTGCTGTGGGACTTGGAAGAAAATCACGCAGACGATCGTATAATTTTTTCCCCTTCTTTTTTGGGTGTGTGTGTGTGTGTGCCACTGTAGGGGAGGAAAGATGTTGGGATTGAAGGATGGGATGTGATGAGATGGGAATGGGTAAGGAAGATGATGTGGGTTGAGCGGGCGTGTTCCGTTGCTCTCATCATCTGCGTGGCATCCTTCCTTTCCCTTGTTTCGTTGGGGGGTTATGTCGTTATCTTTTTGGCGTTGGAACTGTGATGGTGATGATGTTACTGCGGGCGTGTTTCTAGAATAACGTCGAGTCTGGAAATGGATAATGCACAGGATACACTATCGTGTCATAGGTCATGCCCGTTGCTTCAAGGGCAATACGATTGCTTGCGTGAGCATCAAGAGTGAGCATCAAGACTTCGTCCATATACCCATGCCGTCTCAAATCAGCTATGCGGAGCAGACGTTACTTTCATCATGATACGAGGCTTGACGTATACCCCTCGCCTGACTTTATGCTGACCGGGCTGGTAGATCTCAGCTGAGGGGTGTCGACTGAGCAGGATCTGGCGGCTGTCGATCGCGCCCGCTTCCCGCCGGGAACTGCAAGTGTTGCTCTGCCGTGGATGAGTTGAACACCCGAGCGAAGATGAATGCTAATAGATGCCTTGTAGGAACCCTCCTGACCATCATGGACATATGGAGCGAGAAATCACCTTGACTGAAACTAGGTACCATCACTATTGGTGTTCCGAAACATCGGTTATGGAATCACATTGATAAAAGACATAAAAATATGGCATATGCTTCTTAAATTGGGACACGGAACTATGGCCATTCAATTACACTCCTGCATCTCTTCACAGGATCCTCGCCGGGTATGACAAGAACTATCCAAAACCTTATCAACAGAATATACAGCATTGCTCCCATCAACGGAACATTGCGATCCCCCACTATCAATATTGACACATCCAAACTCCCTTTACTAATCATGTTTGTCTCGGTACGCCACCTATTCACACCGGGCGTGCACATTGTGGTCCAGCCTCATATCGTCATTTACAAGAAGGCAACAGCCAAAGCGCCGACGACCAGGGCGGCGATGCTGGAAGCACATAAATCAGAGGCACCAGACACGGGTATGGTTGAAGGGTTGCCCTGAGGAGGGACGGCACCTGATGGGACAACGCCCGAAGGGACTGCGCCCGATGGGTTGACGACAGTGGTCAAACCGCCGGTAGCAGCGGGCGCAGGAGGAGGTGTGGACACCGGGTACGTCACAGCGGGAGGAGCGGATACGACGGGCACAACCGGGATGGTGGCCGCAGGAGATGATGGCGACGCGACGGGGTGAGTCAAGATCGGAGTAGAAGCAATTCCATGAGAGCTGTGGCCCCTTGTGGCACAAGAGGTGCAGTGTGGAACCTCCACGGGAGCGGTTTGAGTGACAATGGGGCTGACAGTGATGATATGCACAGGAGTCTGGCTGGCGCAAGTTGTAAGACCCTTGCTACAAGTGTACGTACGGGGAATTGTGTATGTTGCCGTGATCTCTTGGTACTGCGAGGTGGTGATAGGCGTGGGAGCCGCAGTCTTGTCCTCACCAGGGCAGTAGGTAGTGTAAGAGGTGATGATCTCGGTGGTGACGTGACCGACAGGGCAGTTGGTGACGGTAGGCGCACACGAGGTGATGGTGTGAACCTGGGTAACGGTGAAGGTCGACGTAAGCGTAGGAGCAGCAGTGGTGTGGCTAGCAGGAGCGGTACTGTTCTGCCAGAGAGACGTGGTAGGGTAGAGAGTGCCGCTGCCAGGACCGCCAGTAGCCCCCGAGGTGTGAGTAGCCGGAGCGGTTGTAAGAGGCACCTTGGTTGAGGTGGAAACCGGAGCCGAAGTGGAGGTTGTAGCCGGAGCGCCGCAGTCACCGAGCACGGATGGGACAGCATCGACACCCTTTCCGATAGGGAGGAGGTTGGAACCGCAATCTTCGTTGTTTGCGAGGTGAACGTTGCGGTTGTCCCAATCGTAGACAAGGTAAACAGCCCTCAGGAAAGTGTCGCCAAGAACCGGGAAATCATCATCCTGAGCAACGCCCAATTTGCATGTGCCGTCCTCCTGGTGCCAAATGAAATCGTCATAAGGAACGTTGATGATGGTCTTGCCGAACTTAAAGTTCACCATGCCCTTGGTCTTGGTGACACCACAGTCCACAAAGTATTCGCCCGAATCATCATCCTCCTTGGCAGACGGGAAAGCTTTGAGGATCTCGTCAAAGATGGGACCGGGGAGGGTGCTGATCGTATAGCCGCTGTCGAGCAGGACGGGCTGGCTGTTGGGCTTATCGAAGATCTTGAGATCAGTGCCGTCTTCCTTGGTGATGGTGATGCCATCCAAATAGATCCAGTAGCTATGAAAATAATTAGTCCATATTCACGAACACATTGATAGCTATGCCGATGCGCTCATCCGGGAGTTCCTACCGAGTATATCCATCAGGCGAATCATCAGCAGGGATAATTGGGCGCTTCTCGAGATGACCAGAGAATTTCTTGGTGTCAATGCCACCAAAGATGACAGATCCGCGGTCGCTGCCAAGGCTTCTAATATCAAGACTGAAAGCTCGGCTCTTGATGAGACCTTGCTGAGCCATGGTGTCAATGACAAAGGGATAAGGGCTGGTCCATCCATCCAGACTGGGACCAGCACCAAGGATGCCGACAGAGGCAAATTCGCTGTCGGTAGCGACGCCGAAAAGCTGTTGCTTGACTCTGGCAGCTACACTCAAGTCAGTACTCGCTTAACAAGTATGGTGTCTTATTGCTCGAGAGATAGACGTCTGTCCATGCTATATGCAATCCCAACACCAGCATCACTGGACCAATTCCACTTACAGCCAATCTCGACGTAGTCATAGCCATAATCAAAGTCGACATAGCCAGTACCATATCTAACGCCGCCGGGAGCCTTGGCGTCCACAAAAGTCGTGGACTCGTTGTAGCGACCGAAGCCCTCACAGAATGCCTCGTCGGTGGACTTGCTGCAGATAGGGTTGACCCAAAGCTCGGAGGAACCGGTATCGAAGTTGACGCTCACAGTCTGGGCTGGGGTACCGATGCCGATGTCAATTGTGTAGAAGAAGCCCAGCTTCTGGGCGCGCAGGGAAGCCTCGTTCTGGCGTTTGCGCATGCTCTTGTGAGGGGCGCCGCCAGCAACAGTAATTGGGTGTCGCGAGAGTCCATCTCCTTGATAATAGCTGTTGTCGTCGAGGAACTGCATAGCCTGAGCCGCCAGCGGCAGGGCCGCCAACGAAAAAGAATAACGCATATTGATTAATGATTTGATTCGTAGAGTATTGTCTGCCGGCTTAACGAGTGACCGACGAACAAGACTCTTTTAAACAAGAAAAAAAGACCGTGAGTAGTTGGAAATAAGGGAGCGACTGTGGTGGGTAGAAGGGATAAACCACCGCCGGAAGAGAGACTCAGGGCGTAGTGCGTCTATATAGATTGGCTTTTGCATAGCTTTCCATTGTGGATAATTTAGCCTAGGGAGCAACGAGGCCAGAAGCTCGCTAACCCCCTCGAGGCCCCTGGTGTTGGACGTGGGTCCCATGGCACCGCACGTTACGTCTGCCAGGACATGGCGCCAGGAGAGCGGTTCTCTGCGCACATCCGGTACGCTAAATGGCAGTGGCTGACTATTGTGCATGGTGGAAATGAGCAACCGGCCGGGGAAACAAGTCATTCCCACCTCATGCTGAAGAACCTCTCTTCTTTTTTTGGGAGCTTGAATCGGAGTGTTTTTGACGCAATGCCATGCATGTTTCGTCACCGACAGAGTCAAAGTACATGCATATTGACATTCTGACACTTCTCCTTTTTTGTCTCCTCCTCCCCTCCCCTTTTGGTTGTTCGTTTCTGCCAGGGTTCCTTGACCAACAGTTCCCATTTCCCTGACCGTCAACAACAAGATTGCTGGAGACGGTCAAGCGCATATTTGCAATATGGACCTCTCCAAGCCGGGGGAGAAATTTTCCCTTTGGCTACCATGCTTGGCATGTTACCTAAACTCGGGAAAAGATCAGCCATCAATCTCTCAACGCTGAATGCAGATCCCAACCTCCAATTGTGGCCCTTGGACTGTGTTGTGGGGGGAGGGAAGAGGAAGGGGGAAACTGTTGCAACGTTCTCAGACCCAGCCACTAAAGCTCGTAGCTTGCTTCTACTAGGGCGAGCTGTGGAGGAGATTAAACGGTTCAGTTATTGGAGCCAAGCCGCGAGCGAGTGGAACATGTTTCGGGAGCCATTGGGTGGGTTCGCGCAAGGAATGGACGTCCAAGGGGAAGAGGGGGAAATCGTCTGTGGATTGCAGGACAAATAGTACGAGCAGAATAGATTATTCCTGAGTAAAGATGCCAAGCACGGTGGTTGCTGACCGACATTGACTCCCGTGCCTTGCATGTGATGGGTAATTCTGACAGTGTGTTGTTCATAGGTACGAGTAGTATTGTGGAAGGGTCGAAAATTGAAATTTGCATTTGTTGGCCTCCAGCTTTTCCTTGAAGGGCGTCGTGCGATCAAAGCCACCACCACGTTTCGGTCCATGCAAGGCGCTGTTAGCGCACCTCAGGCGACCAGTTAGCGATTGGCTCTTCTGCAGGGGCCGCCCATCCGAACTTTCGCTTTCAGCGAGCACCACTGAACCTTGGAGCCTTTTAGGGCTCTCCTAGGCTATAAGCTCCCTACAGCTGCCGGGCGCACATCCGACTGCAGGTGGTGGGATGTGGCGCCAGGATCTGGGCGGTCATTGCCACACTTTAAAAGAGACAAGCCGTCCTTGCGACAAGATTTCGTCATTTTGTCTTTCACGGTGGTTGGCATTCTTGGTTTTCGATGCAATGGGTTCTCGGTAATAGCCTTGAGCAGACCGGAAACATGGTGATCGACAGGAGTTGTGCCCGCTGCTATGGAGTA